GCTGGTGCAATAAATGGTGTCTCCCGTGAGAATGAGTACATCTGTATTTACTCGGCTTCATGTGCGGGCTCCGTGGCCGACTGCAGACCATTTGGTTCGTTTGCCAGCATCTATGTGTGAGAAGCAACACACATGGCTTCCACCAGACTTAGAGCGGACCAATCAATTAAAACAATAAGGGTCTCAGCTAATGTCATTCTATGCTAGGCATGGCCCAGCATCGTCCCATGAAAGGCCAGAATGGCAACGGTTGACGGGTAAATAAATATATTAAATGATCAAGGAATTAAACCGACTCGAAGAGGGTGTTGTCAAGCACACCTGTTGTAATGCGCTGATACAGACAGATGTTATCATCCTTTAATAGATAGTGTGTCCTATATAACCGTGACAGGGTGCACTCCAACTCCAGGTGTGGCTTAGCTTCATTCCACTGCCGCCATGCAGCTTCTGCTTGTTGTCGCCCTCGCAGTGTCTGCCAGTGCGCTTGTGGAGAGGGCGGAGTGGGAGGACTTCAAGGCCACCTACGGCAAGTCTTATGCCGACCGCGACGAGGAGGCACGGCGCATGAAGGCGTACGCCGACAACAAGGCGTACGTCACCAAGCACCATGGCTGAGTACGAACGGGGCCTGCACCACCTTCACCGTAGCGATCAATCAGTTCGCTGACCTGAATATTGACGAGTTCAACGCCCTGTATAAGGGCCTCCCAGCCGGGCAAACATCACCAGGCCGGAGCGGCTGCACCAGTACTCGGGCCCGCGTGCAGGCGGCGACGCTTGACTGGCGCCAGTATGGCGTCGTCACGGAGGTGAAGGACCAGGGCGGCGTGCGGCTCGTGCTGGGCGTTCTCGACCACCGGCTCGCTGGAGGGTGCCTGGGCGCTGGCCGGCCACCAGCTGGTCTCTCTCAGCGAACAGCAGCTGGTCGACTGCTCGCACCTCTTCTTCAACCTTGGCTGCAAGGGCGGCCGCATGGACAACGCCTTCAGGTACATCCACGCTAAGGGCGCATCATGGCCGAGTCGACGTACCCGTACACGGCGGTGGGTGGCAGCTGCCACGCCAACCCGGCCTACTTTCGTGGCGCAGGTGAAGAGCCACCACAGCGTGCTGATCGGCTCGGAAAGTCACCTGCTGGACGCGCTGGCTGGACACGGACCCATCTCGGTTGTCGATTGACGCGTCGCACCAGTCGTTCCAGTTGTACCACAGCGGCGTCTACAACGAGCCCAGCTGCTCCAGCCTGCTGCTCGACCACGGCGTGCTCGTCGTCGGCTACGGCACCGACAACGGCGTCGACTACTGGATTGTCAAGAACTCCTGGTCTGCCAACTGGGGCGAGCAAGGCTACATTAAGATGCTACGTAACCACAACAACCAGTGTGGCATCGCCACCCAGGCATGCTACCCAACCGTCTAGCTGCCCGGCTGAGCCTGCGGACTTCTAATAAAAGCGTAGCACTTGAACGTAGCATTTTACAAATCAAACCACAGTCGCAGATGATACAATCTTCGAGGAAGAAAAAAATCTGTGGATGATTAGTTTAACCATGACCGGGAACGAACATTGCCATTTATGTCACATGTTATTTCAACATTTTTGAGACTGACATATACGACCCAGTACCGGCGCGGAACTTGTGTATGTGAAATGTTACGCTTACACGCCCTTCTGCCTTATTTTTCTACGTCCGGTTTCCTTCAGAGACCTCCTTGAGTGGGTCCGCATCAAGGCACATCCCGTATCCCTTTTCACATCAGCCTGTACAGGCATGCAATGAGTCACTGATTTTGTAATTCGTACAATGCGCAGCGACAGTGTCGGACAAACCAACGCTAGATGAGCCCTGAGAGATTCACTGCTAGATCCAGTTGGGCCCCCAGCAACTATCTCTCCTCCCACGACTATTCCCTTAAGGATATTCAGCGCGCCGAACACGAGAACCAGAACTCCTATGAACTCCTATGCGTGTCTCTCATCACGTGGTAAACAACCGTAGCGTTCGGCTCACCCGACGCGTGCCCTCGACTTCGTGGCGACTTTAGCGATCTGCCGCCTGCGCTCGTTCCCTTGGTTCTCCCCACCGCAGCCACGGCATTCGCGCGTGGGCCGACATCGTGAAGCGGCACCGCATTCGCGGACGCAACATCACGGCACGGCGCCAGGCATGGACGCCTCCCAAATGGACCTCGGTCCGCGGAAGAACGTTGGACCCGGCTGCCGCCATCGACTCAGCCTCGTGCCCCACGCTCTTCTCTCAGTCACTCCAGGTGGCTCAAACTGCAATGTTGGTGACTGCGTGTGGCGTAGTTTTCTCTTCGCTGTCGCCATTGCAGCTGCACATGTCCCGTTTCCCCCCGCCAAAAGGAGGCGCAAGATTGCGTGCGATCGCAACGCGTCGGATATGAAACACATTGCAGATGGCGCTAAAACATTCCCCACACCTGTCATTGATTCGCTCACGCCACGCCCACCCGATATTTGGGAGTGAGAGAGCTCAGGATGAGGACCGCCAGCACCGTATGCCTCTGTTTCTGGCTAACTGGAGCACCGTCATCTCTTCTCGCGTGCTTCTACCTTTCAATGTGCGTTTTTTGGCTCCCTCCTAAAACCTTTCCATATAAACCTTGGCTACCACTGCCACCTATTTGCGATATCAACATCTCCCGCTAGCCCTTCCACTCCTTTACGGCATGTTTCCATCCGTGCGTCAACTCCCTCAAAACTCCTATGCGTGTCAGATATTCTCAGGATCGCTATTACCGTCGCGTCTCCGTCGTCACCGTCATTAATCGCTCCTCCACTTTCACATAATTGCGCGTTCCCATGTTATTCGGCACAATTTCTCACACTCCACGCAAATAACTTTCACCACATGACCGCATCAGCACAGATGATCGGCACTTGGAGTGACGCATAGCAATGCAATGGCAAACCCTTGCATAGGTCCCCGAGACAGTGACGATGGCCTCTCACACGCTTCACAGCACACAACGGCCACGCATTATCTGTACAGTAAACAATGGTCACAATGTACGCATAATTCACATCGCCCCAACGGATGTAATAATCCTCGATCTGACATCAACGCAGACGGTGAATACGTATCACATTTAGTACAAGTAAACACACGCCTCATTAGCTTCTGGGGATACCCTGCACGGTAAACACGACAAACATGTAAAAATTGTCCCTGAAAAGAGCAAATTGCCTGTCTTGGAGGGAGTGGTGAATGTTTTGCAACTATGTATAAAACATTACTTTTGGCATCAATTAAGACGGTTTATGCAAGGGGGCCAGCTGTAAACAGCTAGCTGTAAATAACAAATTAAAAATATTATGGTTGGAATGCAAGGATTTGGGGTCCTTGAGCCTTAGGGAGGCCCATACAATGTTGTGTGCCTCCTCCCACTCGCCCACCCCTGGAGAAATCCTGGATCCGCCCCTGGGTCAGGTATAGTATGTTTAGCGTCCACCGCAGAGCAAACCCGGCACAGCCCAACAGGAAGTAAAAGATATGCTCGCTGCGCCTGCATATTATTTGGCTTACTATCTCATCTGGTACACAAAGATCTTGTGCCACCATACACTCCCGAATGAAGTCACATGTTTTAACGTTACATTACAAAAGCACACGATTATAAATTTACGCATTGAAGGCCAAATAAGGCGAGTTGTCCAGTCATTTGAGACAGTTGGAGGAACCCCACCTACAGAGGCCGCAGAGTTCAACCTTCTATGGCTTGTCCTCCAGAACATATCCCAGAGAGGTCACGGTGCAAAGTGTCATGAAAGACTGTTCCCCGCGTCCCACGTCGTGGTTGCCCCGGGTTGGGACGTTTGCTTCCATCCGCATGCGCGTGACGCGGCTGTGGCACCTGGGAGCTTAGCGCGGCTGCCCACCTGGCGGCCGGCCTTGACTCCAGTGCCAGCGTAGCCGACGGCGCAGGTGGCAGCAGGTGACCGCCGCCTGGTAACAGGTTTCCGAGCCAATTACCCTGTGGAGTCAGATGCAACCGGCCCTAAACCATACGAAAGAAGCCACCCGCGTTCCTTTCCGCTTGCGCGCACTATGCGGACCGCGAGTGGCAAGCGCGTTCCGCACCGCAGCGATTGAAATTTTTTACACCGGTAACTTGTGGGCAAATTTGACAATTTCCGTGCCTTCAGTGAATGAAATAACACCGTCACAGGCATAGACCTGATTAACGATCGAGCCGTGGTTATGTCCATAGGCTCAACTATATCTACAACGTTGGCCAAAACATACTCAGGAGCGACGGACACCGCTTAACTACTACTCGATGACGCCCTGCTGCTCCCACCTGACGACCATCTCTTCTCAGAGGCGTCCATAAGCCTAATGATTTCGGAGGCGAGTCGAGACCCCAACAGCCCAACTTTACCGCATATGAGTTTTTCAAAGAATTTGGTCATTCGTTTTTCATGCACGGTTAATGTTATTTTTAGTTTCTAGCGTTTGTCTTATAGCCATTCTTTGGGCAGCGCCTTAAGTATGCAATCAAAGTAAAAGAAAAAAACACGGTGCCAGATTAGTATGGGGGAAGCGAGACCCCATGAAAGAATATGAATTAACACTCCTTCTTTTTGGACATCAAAGACAGTCTGGCTCCTGGACCAATCATGGACCGAGTTCATAAGGGGCATGAAAATTCACCCGACCTCCCTTGTAAGGAAGGCAGTGGTCGCGGGAAGCGGCTGGTTATAGCCGGAAGCCGAACCGTTTTGGCTTCCGACCTTTCCGACCTTCTTGGCTTTTGCCTTTTGGCTTTTTGTTTGACTTCCGACCATAACTAGCAGGTGGCAGGGTGGAAAGAATACGTGATCAGCACCGGAATTTTGTAATGAACGACTCAATCGTGTAAGTCAATGAATGTTTTGGTTGACAAAAATGGTAAATACGGCAGTCCATTAGCAGGTGTGGACTTAACTCTGCGGCCAAAGTTTGCGCAGCTGAGCCAATCGTCAGCGGTGTAATGGAGCCATGGGGCCATGCAAGCTGTCATCATTTGGCCGTCTAATGTAGCTGGATCGGACGTGGTGTGCGCTGCCGGCTGCGTTTTTCAGATTTTCCCTTCGGTGTAGGGCTAGGTACGTGCATCACTGGCTGGTCAATGGGTGGTAGTTGTGTAATTGAACAAAGTTCATATGACCTAATTTGTGGTTAGGCAGTTCTAAGGCTGGTGGTTAATTGCTTAGGTAATTCCAAGTTTGCAGGGCCGAGGCATTTCCAGAAACTTGGTGATGTGGTGATATCAAGTGTAATTTGTTTGCAAATTCAGCTCATGTAAAATTTTAAACTTATGTGTGCAGAAATAAGTATTTGCATCTGGTAGCATATAACAAATAATTTTACATGACTGCATTACTTAGGTGTATTAGTGTATTCATGCTGAAATAAGCACAGAAGGCTGTATTCCATTTTAGGGAGGGAACTCAATTGATTCCTTCATTTCCTTAATGAAAGTATATGAATAGTTTGTGCTTAAGAAACAGGAATGCTGCATCTTGCAGTAATGTTTTCATTAGAGTTGCAAACCACATTCTGAGAATCCCAGGTATTTTATGGATCACTACATAATTCCACCATCCAAAGGTATTTCTAAAGATAATTCCCCATCTGTTTTTCTGACAATTTCATGTGCCATATCATCTGATTTGTGTTTTCACGCTGAGTTAAGATATTTAAACCGATGTTAAAATGCCCACATACTTTTAGCTCAAATGAAGGGCTAAAACTTTATGAAAATTTCAACTGATGGCTTAAGTAACCAAATTCAGCAGTCCTAACCATGTCAGGTATTCACGTAGTGTAACATTTCTTGCTTAGAACCAGTTCCAGCAATATTATTAAAAACTCAGAAGAAGAAGACCACATAATTTTATTAAAGGTGCATATTTTATGGTGTAAGTGCATGGTTGTCTAAGCAAACCAAAAATCATCATCAAAATTGTACTAACCCTTGAATAGCTGTTGGCTGACTGACTAGCTGTTGTGCAATAACCATGTTAGTTCTTGAATTTATTTTACTTCTAACATGTGGCATATGCCAGATGCAAAGGGCACAAATGCTTGTGGCAAATGCAGCAATTCAGCACATATAAGTCCATTTTTACTCTCTCCATTCCCTGGTTATGGACTGGTTATATTATGGAAGATCCCTTGGGTGTGCTCTTAAAATAGGTATTTGTTATGGAATTCCAGCATGATTAGTACCATACCTGAGTGTCAGGTTACACTTTCCAGCCCCCTTTCTGCCATGTTGCATTTTTGGTTGCACCCCATCAGTTTCCCAACATTCCCAAGAGTTACCAAATTTTGAGTTGGTTCCTGACAAATTGCAAATAATGCAGGAGAGCTAGTTTTTCATCACACAACCATAGTCAATAAGTAACAATTGAATGCCAGAAAGGCAAAGGAAATAAGGCTTGGACCAGTATCATTGTGTTGTGGTCACTCTACTGATGACTCAAACAGATGTACTGTGCACTGGATTTTACTTCTAAATCATCATGATCCAATCACCAGGTTAAACAAAGTGATCATTAATCATCAGATAAAATCAAATCATCATTAACCATAATATCAAATCAAACAAATCATCATTGGTTATGAAGCACAGGGATGAAAATCATGAAATAAAAAAGCTACTAAAACCAAATCACAATTTTTGCGGACCCTGAAATGTAGAAGAAGCAAGGTGACATTAAGCTTTAAATTAGAGTGTTCATGGGAAGTTTTAAGACAAAATATTGGACCAAAGTTTGTTTGATACTCAAGGACCAATGACCCAAGGACCAATGGAGGGAGCAGCAAATTAAAGAGTAGTATTTATGTTGCAGGTAGCTGTTGCAGGCTGGCTAGCCCACATACCTGCCATCCACAGAACCAAACAAGTTGGTTGCCACCACACTACCAGCCCACATGAAGCCATCTGGGCCCATTGACACCAGATGAGAATGGAAGACTAGCTGTACCAGTTACCATTTTGTCGCGCTGGACTGTCCAGAGACATGTTGAGGGTGGGAGTGGTGGGCGCTGGTGCCGCTGGTCTGGTGGCGGCCCGCCTGCTCGCGGCCAGGCCTAGTGAGTTTGCTGCACCCGTGGTGTTCGAACAAGCCGGCTCCGTCGGCGGCACCTGGGTCTACACAGACCACGTGGGCTCAGACAGACATGGGCTGCCCATTCACTCCAGCATGTACCAGAACCTCAGGTGAGTGCGTGACGTTGTATGCTGCATGTCAGTCGGTTTGTTTATTCAGGCACAACATGTTTTTTGGCAGGATTCACACGCGATATATTTTACTGATGTTCCACACACTTCATGTCGTAAAATGAGAATGTTCTGTCCTTTTGTACAACATGATCACCATCAAATTGCTTGTATTTAATAACCATGCTTACAGGGTCTGGAACGTTGTTTGGAAAGTTGTTAGAAACATTGTCAGTGGTATGGAAGGTTGTTAGAAACATTGGACAGCAGACTTGCATATTTCTCCTCCAGCTCCACTTTTTATTGCTTGAACTTAATCGTTCGTAAAAAACGGACTAGGCGGTACAAAGACGTCAGAATGTTAACAATCTTTTTCGGCGTTGGTTGTGTACTGCAGCACAGCATGTGCATGCTAAACATGAAATTTGTCCTTTTCGCGGAAAATGACTATTTCATCAGCTGTCCGTTGGACCGACTAGCAGGCTTTTGATAGTACTGAGACTGGAGTGGATCATTTCATGCTCCCTTCCTTTCATGGACTCTGAGCTTCTGTTACAGTGGCGCAAAAGCGTGTCTTGTTTGCTGCTATGAAAAACGAGTGTTTCTCATGCGATCCATTGTTCATTATTGTCCGCGACCGTTTTCAGAACGAATCTACCTAAAGAAGTGATGGGGTTTCCCGACTTCCCTTTCAAGTCAGACAGTTACAACGGAAAGTCCTTTATCTTCCACGAAGAAGTGCTTGACTACCTGTGTAGATACGCCGACCGATTTGATCTGGAACAGTACATCCTGGTAATCTACGATAAGATAATAGGCGGCGGGAGGAACAGGGTGTAAGATTGCTCTACGTTGTCAATGTTTAGTAAACTAAACTATCAGTTTCGACCTCGGTCGTGGATTCATACCGTGAAGAAGGCCGAGGCACCACGTGTGTGGTGGACCTTCGTCGTTGTTTGCGTCTCCACGGACCGGTATCGTTTAACGCTGATGGAAACTTTTGCAATCTAACTTGCAGTATTTGCACGTGAGGTGCGCGTATGACTCGAAAAGCAAAAAAGAAAAGCAAAAAAAAAACCATGAAACATGTCGCTGTCGAAGTGGTGGTGATAGTGATAGCGAGTTATGATGAAGCAGGGACGTGGCGTGTTGTGCATACATTAGAACGAATTTTGGTGGCTTTTGCTTCTCGGCTGAATTCATGCTCAACAAAAGAATAACCTTTTCCCTTTGGTCGTTCAGTTAAGCGCTCGCGCTCGTTTGTGATGGGTATGTACGCATTCTTCGGTGACCTCGTTTCCTCTTGTCGGGGCAGTTCGAGACGCGCGTGGAGAATGTGACGCCCACCAGTGCCAACGACCCGGCGTCCGGATGGTCCGTGACCACGCGCGACCTCAACACCAACAAGACCAGTCACCACTTCTTCGACGCTATGATCATTTGCAACGGGTGTGGGCGCAGTGATGGCTTTTATATTGTGATGTCTCGTGATGTCTCTCTCAGTGATGTCTCTCTCAGTGATGTCTCGTCTCTTGTTGGCTGGCTGCGTTCTCGGGATGTGTTATCACTAGCTGTCACATGTGGGCGAAGTGTTTGATGCCTTCTGTCTGTGCCATTGTTGATTAGAGAATGTCTCGTGGAAATCGGGTGTCCACGCAACTCCCTCCTGATATTTCATTGATGCATTCTGGGTTCGAATGGGCCGCCAAGCGTGTTTGAATCCGTGTTAACGTGTGTGGTGTCGTTACTCGGTCCAACACGAATGAGCTGGTTCTCAGTTTGCGGTGTGCGGCGTGAGCCGACTATGGTCTCCGCACCCGGTCCCCTGTCAACACCGTTTCTAGAGCGTGGTCGCCAACGTTCGCCGCCCGCACGCCGGCATAGGTCAGCGGACGCGTGTGACGGCGTCCCAACGCTGACACCGCCGGCGCTCACACCGCCCCGCCCCGCCCCGCCCGCAGGCACTACTCGGTGCCAACCGTGCCTGACCTGCCCGGTATAAGACAGTTTAAGGGCGAGGTCATCCACAGCCACGACTACCGTGTGCCGGCGCCGTACACCGGTGAGTGGCCCCCGGCGGGCGCGGCCACGTGACGACGTGACGTGACGTGACGCGGTCACCCAGCCTGGTGGCACGCGCCGCGACACGTTCTACATTTGTCCCCAAGTTGCAGCGCTCTGTTGGAACAGGGTGTTTTGTTGCTGGGCGAATCGCAGTCGAACGAACACGTTACTCGTGGTTGACAGTGCATAGCAGTGGTGGCGGAGTAGCGGAGATTAGGGATAGATAAGCAGCTCTTGGTAAACTACCAACTATTGGGAGTCAGCAGCATTGCATGTAAATGATCCGATATAGAAGGGCACTTGGGGCGGTCTCTGTGGACGCTCGGGCGCCACCGTCGCCAAGCGTGATCGCCGGGCGCCGCTCGAGATGCTCCTGTGCTGAGACGGCAGCCGCGTGCCGGCCGGTGTGTCACCCCCCCCCCCCCCTCGGCCTGTCCAGGGAAGCGTGTGATCCTGCTGGGTGGACGAGCGTCCGGCATTGACATTTCGGTGGAGGTGGCCACCGTCGCCAAGCAGGTCAGTTGCAGCGCGCTCTGATGGCTCTCAGGCCCGGCTTGGCTCAGGTCAGCTTCGCCATTTTTCTGGTGGAACACGTTCTCGTGAGATGCCGTGGAGCGTGCGGTAGGCGCCCTGTGAAGCTGAAAAAAACTTGTAACTGGTGCCATTGTACTGCTCGTTTGTTGCTTTGTACCCGTGCATGTCATGAGCATGCGAACATGGTGCTGCGTGGCGTTACTCTCCCTCCCTCCCTCCCTCCCTCCCTCTCGTTCTCTCTCGGTCTCGATCTCGATCTCGGTCTCTGGCTCTTTGTCGTTGACTTTGTCTTTGTCTTTGTCTTTGTCTTTGTCTATGCATTTGTCTCTGTCTCTGTCTCTGTCTGTCTCTGTCTCTGTCTCTGTCTCTGTCTCTGTCTCTGTCTCTGTCTCTGTATCTGTCTCGTCTCTGCGGGTTTATCTGTGTCCGGCTCCTGTGTCCGCCTGACCGGCGTCACTGCGTGGCGCAGGTGTATCTGTCCCACAACCAGCCTCCGTTCGTGGCTACGCTGCCGGACAACATGCAGCAAACGGTCGGCATCGAGAGCATGGAGCCCGACGGTGTCGTGCTCAAGGACGGCCGACGGCTGGCTGTCGACGCACTGATCCTCTGCACCGGTCAGTGACCTAGGTCGGCCGACGGCTGGCTGTCGACGCACTGATCCTCTGCACCGGTCAGTGACCTAGGTCAGCCGACGGCTGGCTGTCGACGCACTGATCCTCTGCACCGGTCAGTGACCTAGGTCGGCCGACGGCTGGCTGTCGACGCACTGATCCTCTGCACCGGTCAGTGACCTAGGTCGGCCGACGGCTGGCTGTCGACGCACTGATCCTTGCACCGGTCAGTGACCTAGGTCGGCCGACGGCTGGCTGTCGACGCACTGATCCTCTGCACCGGTCAGTGACCTAGGTCAGCCGACGGCTGGCTGTCGACGCGCTGATCCTCTGCACCGGTCAGTGACCTAGGTCGGCCGACGGCTGGCTGTCGACGCGCTGATCCTCTGCACCGGTCAGTGACCTCCCGACCTTTCCCGGACGCATTGCTAATCCCCTGTACCGGCCGGCGGACTGCTGACCACTCCCCTGGTGGTCAATCCCCCACATTGTGAATCCCATACACCGTTCAGTAGTGCCTGCTCTCTCCCATATAGCCTGTTGAACCTCCATATTGGTCATCAGTCACTCCCTATACGCTGTTGATTCTATATACCGGCCAGCGGGCCATTGACTGTCATGTACGCTACCGATCCAAGCCTGCGCTGGTGAGTGGGCCATGACCGCCCTCGTGCACGCTGATAGTGCTCATAAGGCTCGTGGCATTGCAAGTCCCTTGTAAGGCCCTGCTGCCGTTCGGGGCGGCCTTATCGTGCCGCGGAACATGTGTTCTCGTTTTATGTGCACTCGTTTGTCGGTTGGTGAGAGCAGTGCGTTTTCTGGAATACATTCGTAGTCATTACATTCTGAATTATATTCTGTTCATGGTAGTCGTCGTGTTATGTATGGGCTCATGCAATCGCCAATGACGGCAATGACCCGGCTGCTTCACATGCTCGTGACAAATCCGCGCTAGTGAAAAAACCCAGCGAAATATCAGGCAACGCGCGGCACTCGAGCCCGACCCGGTCCGTCGGAAGCTCGCCCCGCCCTCTCACTGATCCCGCGCGCTGCTACCGTGCCACATGGTCGCTGGCAGGGTACGAGTTCGAGTTTGCGTTCCTGTCGCCGGCGTGCGGGGTGGAAGTGGTGGAGCGCCAGGTGAGACCGCTCTACAAGCACGTGATCCACACCGGCTACCCGCGGCTGGCCTTCATCGGCCTGCCCACGGTCGTGCTGCCGTTCCCGCTCTTCCACAAGCAGGTCAGCACGGCCGCCGGCGGCTCAGGGCCGGCGCTGCGGAGGGGCGAGGTGGCGCTGGTGGGCCGCTGGCCGTGTATGACGTGGACAGGTAGGGTGCGCACTCCGCAGGTCTGACGGACTGGGGATCGGCTCGGGCAGGGCGCAGACAGCATCCAAGGATGCTGGGAGGCGCTTGTATAGGTGATACCTAAGCGTTACGTGAGGTGAAGGCAAAAACACATAGATGGCGGCTGGGTGACGATGAGCATTGCCATTGATTTATGCTGTATCATTACGTGCGATCACATTCTTCGGAAACACTAAATGGCAAAAGGACCTTAAACTCCTTTAGAAGGTAACGTATAAGACAAGACACGTGCGTATTAAAATGGCATTTCCATATGTGTGGCACAAGTTTTGGTGTTGCGAGAAAGGCGTATCCAACCGAAATTCCTTCTGAAGTTCGTCCTCTAAAGCTCAGATTATCTAGTTCAGGGCACTGATGTGCCGTTCTTCTCAATGTAGCGGGTTACGCTCATGGCCACAATTACTTGAAATGCGATCTGGTGGCCGGCGTCGAACTCGCCTTCGCTCTGCAGCCTGTTCGGCCGCCGTCACCTCACCCCGCCTGACGCCGCTGTCCTGCCGCCAGGTGGAGTTCGTGCTGGCGAGTCTGAGCGGCCGCCTGCGCCTGCCTTGCCGGCCAGAGATGGACGCCGACACGGCCGCCGACCTGGAGACGCGGCTCCAGCTGGGCCTGCCCGCGCGTTACGCGCACCTGCTCGGCCCGCTGCAGTGGGAGTACATGGACGTGCTGGCGAGCGCAGCCGGCGCCGAGCCCGTGCCCGAGGCCGTGCGTCAGCTCTACGATGAAGTGCACGCGCAGCGCGCGCGCGACCTGCGCGGCTACAAGGAGCGCGCCTTCCGCATCACGGGGCCCGCCACGTTCGTTGAGGTCACTGACGAGGTAATGGCCGACCTGGCCAGCAAGCTGTGACGCCCGCCGAAACGGTGGCATGCCCACCGAAGCTGGGAGGGGGTGGTGCACGAACGCCGGCCTGAGTTTGAGGCACAGGACGTGGGTGAGGAGCAATGGCTTACCACCGATCAGCTCCGATTGTCTTAGCTCAGCTCAGATCATCCTAGATCAGCTCAAATCCACTCAGCTCAGCTCAGCTCAGCTCGGCTCAGCTCAGCTCAGCTGCACTCAGCTCCACCGCGTTGATGTATCGCGGCCAGCCGCTCTCGGCTCTGCGCAGCGCGGCTGCGGGGTCGGCTCAGGTGACGCGCACCTCAGTTGAGCCACGTCCTGTGTGGAGAGTGGGATGCGCTGTGTCTATGTGTGTGGGCGTGTCTCAGGGCCAGCGACGGGCCAGGGTGGCTCGGGCCGGCAAATGTCGGACTCGTGCTGTCGGACCTTATTCCGTTCAATGAGTAGGTATTCCACTTGTTAGAGGAGCCTAGGTCTTAGTGCCTTCATGCGGCGGTCAGTTGTCGCGTCTGTCCTTCATGCCTAGTACAGATCCTTGTGCCAACGCTGTAGCTAGTCTTCTCCGGAGGGGGTCTTTATCTAATGTTTGTCGGCGACATTTGGAGAGATAGGTGACGTCATCTGCTGAGGTTCACCGCCAGCTGATAGCCAAGCCGATCATTGGGTTTGTGTTGATGCGCTGCCTTCATGTTATGTAAAGGCTATTTCATTGCTAATTGGGTCGAGCAATGGTATAATGGCGTGCAATGATCCATCAGGTTATACTGGTAGTCATGGAGGTGGTCATTCAGGTGGAAACGGCTTCCCGGCGGGTGTGGAGAGACGTATCGGATGATTTGAGGTTTCTGCCGATGGTGATCATCACAAACATCTTGTGGAGGTGATCCGAAGTTTGCCACGCGTACCTGGCTCTGTGGCTTGTGCCTGTGTGGACTGATCGTGGCCGAAGTGGCGCGTTTTTGCGCAGTACTACCTTCATGATGCATATGGGTGTAACCCAAGCGCGGAGTGTGGGCGTGATTGCTGCAGGATTTGTGATTTTTGCGTGATATGTGTGGCTGTTACTGGACACGTTTCTAGTGATGGATGTTAAAAGATACCATTGCATCGTCATGCGGCCATTGCGTTTGACAGACAGTATGTGTATTGCCTGACTGCGTACGGTTTGGATGCGATCCAGTTCCACTCGCTGACCGGCCGTTGGGGTTTTACACGTGCGGTTCGGGCTTCATTGACTAAAGGGCGGCGGCACTATGAAGATTTTGGGCATGCATTAAGTGTTGCAACGTGTAGCAGGTCATAGTCATATCGGGATGGATGAAGCTGTGGTGCGGAGCGTAACGCTCCAGATCATGTAGCTAGAGGCGTACCTGACACAGTGAAGAGAACTACTTGGTCTTATCGCTCCGGATATTGGCTCGTTATTTCAGGTGGCTCGCTTAATTACCTAAAATGCAGCCTTGTCTGGATCGTCCTTTTGCACTTGCACACTTGTTGCCGAGGCGAATGGGGTCAAATACAGGCTGAACTATCCACCTGTTGTTTTTTTTTTTGGGGGGGGACGATTTGCGAGAAGCACGCATGCATCAGGTTCTAGTGTGCCGCGACATTGCACACTCGAGTGAGAGTTGAGCAGGTGACCATTACGTCAAATGTGAATTGGATCAATGTCACCACCACGAAATATTTCATCGTTTAGCTTAGTGCGGAGAACAACGCGTACATGCGCGTGCAAATTGTGCAGGGTCTTCTAATCACATCGATGTTGTGCACCCGAATGTTTTTATTAATCTCTGTTTCCATTGTAAGTTGTTCAGTACATTAGCGAGGAACATAAGTCATGCAGATAAGGCAGTAGTATTAGCCTTATTCCTCGGAAAAATCAGGAGAATAGAGAAATAGTTAGGTTGATATTTCGGCAACATGCCTTTCTCGAAACAATAGCAGAAGTGAATTCAAAATTGCCTGCCGATGATCTTACTCGATTTTCAGGTTTTTTAAAGAGCAAGCCACAGTTTTTACCGGACACCAACATCCAGGGATGATGTTGAGGGATTGCCAGCCATTGTCGAAATACAGTGCCTATAAGAATTAGAATGACCGGACGTACGTGTGCTTGCAAACGAATTCAAGCAAGTAGGCATCACGCATCACGCTTCATTCGAACATGCAAGCGAGCTAAAGTAAACAGGCATCACATGGCGCGCACTAATTATGCATGCAAACGATTTCAATTGAACAGGCATCGCACATCACGCGACAGGCATCACTTACACATGTAAACGATTTTAGGCTAGCCCACATCACACATAGAGTGGGTTTCGCGAAAGGATGTTGCCGCAATATGCCTGTCGTGTGGATCTATTCTTGTAAAAAGTCGGCGACCAAATTTTAACATACAGGGCTTGTCATGGCCAATTATGCGAACGTGATGAACATCAGTGCCTCTATGTGTGATGTGTGCTAGCTTAAAATCGCTTGCATGTGTAAGTGATGCCTGTCCCGTGATATGCGATGGCTGTTCGATTGAAATCATTTGCATGCATAATCGGTGCGCGATGTGTGATGCCTGTTTACTTCAGCTCGCTTGCATGCTCGAATGAAGCGTGATGCGTGATGCCTATTTACTTGAATTCGTTTGCATGTACACGTATGTCCGGGCATTCTAATTCTTAGACAGGCACTATCTTGGTAATGGCTGGCAATCGCTCTTTGTTTAATCCCCTGGATGTTGGTGTCCAGTAAAAACTGTGGCTTGCTCTTTAAAAAACCGGAAAGATCGAGTAGGATCATCGGCAGGCAACTTTGAATTCACTTCTGCTATTGGTTCGAGAAAGGCATGTTGCCAAAATATCAACCTAACTATATCTCTATTCTCCTGGTTTTTCCGAGGAATAAGGCTACTACGCTGTCTTATCTGTTTCCATTGCTTTAGGCGTTTACGCCGCTCAGCCAGCGGTATTGTCTCTTGAAGATCGCGTTTTGCTCCGCCAGTGCATGGTGACTGATATGCTGACGCCCGTTTAGCATTTCCACAAAAGCCGCGTTTTTGTGGAAGAAGGTTTGCCGTGTGACATTAATGTCAACTTTAAGTATTGGTAGCAAGAGCAATGTCGTAACAATCCCGTCGGAAAGGGGTTTCGTCGAAGCACTAATATGGAACCTTCATTTTCCCGACGAATGGATGCACTTTTGCTTACGCTGTATCCCGATGGGATCCTTGAGATCATGGACACAACACGATAATTTTCCGGAAGATGTCCACACAAAGCGAACTCTCTTCCTCTAAGCGTGCTTTTAACACGCGCCCGGACGGCCGGCTAGATACCCTTCGCTCGGGTTTGGGGGGGTCAATTTGACCCCCCTCCTGAAATCTCGGGAACTAAGAAATCTAGAAACACCAAATTTACAGGGTGTATTGATCTGTACGTGAACTCACTTAGTTCAAAGTTTCAGGTCCCCATGTCATGACCTTTGGGTCGAAAAGGGTCAAACAAGGTCAACTTCCAGGTTGGTCTCCAAAATGTCCCCAGAACGTAGATAACCGTTTCTAAGCAACAGGTCACATTCTCACTTAACGTTAGTGACCTAGTTTGACCTTTCGAAGGTAAAGGTGACCAAAATCATACAAGATTGCTTTGAGTTTTGCCTTTGATTAAGCGACAAAGATTACGCTGGGCAGTATGTTCCTAAAACAAAATGTTGACCTAGGTCATTTTAGGTCATTGACCTTTTCTGACCTCCAACAAGTCCATGGAAGATGTATAATGCGCTTCCTGCTATCAATAAACTCCAAATGAGCACCAAAAGCTATCCCATACAGCAAGCTCTAGAGAAATAAAACAGGTTGGTTTTGACCTTGGTGCGGCCTTCATATCTGACCTTAAGTCAATGCAATTTGCTCATTCAACTGTTGTGTTGCCTAAGAAAGCATCTCAGATATGTACGGCTTCGTCTAACACTCCGTTGTTGGATCAGATTGAAGGATTCCATAGAAATTGCCTTCGCTGAAACCATGTCCTGACTTTGATCTGCCATGGGTCAGCAACCTTACAAGGTACATCTACATTTTTTATGCCAAACGATCCGTTATTCAATTGTCTACATCTAAGCAAAATTTGGCGAGGCTACGCCGCGCTGTTCCGAAACCATTCTGGTAAAACCTTCGGGGAGGTCAATTTGACCCCACCCGAGCGCGTGTTAAACCTCCCAGGTACGCACGGGACGTTCGTGCAATCCAGTGGTGCTTTGTCAGGTTTGTTATTGCCGTGCCCATCTCCTCTATAATTTCCCAAGCATTTTGGCGAAGTGTTCTTAATGGCATGCGGCGTATATGGACCCACTGTTTGTACGCCACTTCGTCGATGGTGCCGCTCCTTTTTGGTCCGAATTACGCCACATGTGCTGAGCTCGTCAACGGCTGGTCGTAATCCGATGCTATTATGGCGGAATCTCCAGACGGAGGAAATCTCCCGGCAGCAGGTTTCTCGCGACATTGGCAACAATACCATACAGCTGTAGCAGGCCGCGCAGACTTGGCTCCGGGTGAATCTTGAATAGTCTGCACATCTTCGCGAGCGTGTGATGTAGACACTAGGTGGTTTTAGGTTTTGAGCAGGGCACGGTTGTGAACTGCACCGAACGACCTTCAAAATGTCTGTTTCAGCTCAAAACCCCAAATAAATGTGGAACTTTCCCTTAAACACCTAGCGGCCGGGTCCATTTCGGCCTGAACCTTGGGGCTCATTTGTTAAAAAGATACAATGTCGGACCGGTGACTTTCATTGGTCGGAGACTTAAATAATGAGTGGTTTGCAATGTTTAACAGAGAGCACACGTCGGCAAGGGCCACTCCAGGAACATTTCCGCTGAACAGGAGCGGGACGGGGCGCCGAACGTTAGGGACGGCCTCCTGCATTGATCGGGGCCATATGGCGATTAAAAGAGATCTCAGGACTTGCGATATAGGTCCATAACGAAACAATGGAAGGTGGATTATTTCTTTTCAGTCATCGCCCTGGGGTCAATGTCGTAGTCTCAAAAAATTGAAGCGCTCAGCCCCCACCCTTCCCCCACCACTTGCCGCGTCCATGTACGTACAATACAAGTGTGCATCTTGCCCGATGGCTTGAGACCCAAGTCCAGAGCCACATGCCTCCTAGACCTGTCACGCGGACGTCCGAGCTGTTTCGTCGCAGCAAGTCTGGGTCATGAAGATTCAACTGAACACTTTGCGCGCGTCCCAGAGTGCTGCCCGCTGATGCACTGTTGTTGACAGCTGACGTACTAATCCGGTCCTCGCTTTTTCCCCAATCTTTTTCCGAATGGGTTGCATGGCTGGATTTGGGCTTCAGAGCATCTGCTAAGCATAGCTTACTGCGTTTACCCTGGGGCCACCACCCATGTCGCACCGTCCAGTTCAACGGATAATTTTGCCTGGTCCTTGCATCAGGAAGGAATGCGCAGGGTTTCACGTGCCACACAATGCCACGACGCAGCTGCTCCATCAGTGGTATCCAGGTAAAAAGCGAACTATCAAAACTGTTCTAAACCTACTTTCAAACTTCTATGAAACCAGTTTTCAGGTGTTTCAAGAGAGCCCAAAATAACACACAAAGTAATACTTGTATTGTTCTAAGGTGCTTGCGTACAAACACAGAAATCATTTTCCAAACTTATCAAGTTTATCTTTGAGGCATAAAAAGTATATGGATTCTGGAACGCAGCTGAGGATTCCTATGCATTTTGGTGTCCTCAAGTTGGTCTGTCGAGGCCTCTTAATTGGTTTCCCGCCGATCGGGACACTTTGCTGGGTGAATTCAGTCTTGTCACCGAGAAGACGCTGAAAGAAAGCAGGCTGAAAGCGCGTGCGGAAAAGCAAGCTGGTGTCCTGCGTGCACAGCTGTTACGTAGTGTCGGCATAGTATGTGTGTTTTACTATCAGTTAAACACGACTTGGCGGAAGCAACACATTCACGGATCTATTTATATTTTCCATCGACCCAAACTCTCCCCCCCCCAAATTGTTTTTTTTTTTATTAGCTCTTCCTGTGTGACAAGGCAATTATGAGGTGAGGCAGACGATGTCATAAAGAAAACTCGGGCGATAAGGGATGACATTTATTACGAATCATACATTGCAGCACGTCTTACTCTAATCAAACACAGATCCATTAATGTTTTTCTGTGCAGTTTAGCTTGAGCCAGCGTAGTTTAACAACAGGGCGATGTCATGCAATATGTGGACTGTTAATTTCCCACTATCCTGGGACATGGGGATAAACGGCTTTCGCGCTAACGTGACGGCAAAACTGGATGAAATGCGAACAGCCATGCTTAAGTCAATGCTAGAGTGTGCTGACAAATACGATGGAAGTGTCGTTATACTTTTGCCTCCACAAATCACACAAATATAGTCCTATAACCATATCCTTCAGGTGGATGAGAGAAACAACACACCAACACACAGAGTACTAAACGACACACCAACACACAGAGTATTAACGACACGCCAACACACATAATATTAAACGAC